CGATTTCTCCTTCCGAGTCATGCTCCGAGAGTGAAACGAGTCATTCGTCGTGTCGACACGTTCGCGCGCCGATTATAACCGCCTCGAGGATACGACCTGATCCGACCGCGGGACGCTTGATCGTTTCACTTTGACCTTCGAGCCGGATAATTGAATAATTTATATCTCTTTTCGAGTGTTTCTTCCTTACATGACGCGTCGCGGTGTATTTACGGTGTATTATGAAGAATTGTGTGTGTGTGTGAAAAATGAGGATTTAAAAATCAATTGAAGTAAGTCGATAAATATTAAAAACGAGATTTTTAAAATTTTAAAAAGTAAAAATCTTCAATGATTATTTGGAATAAAAATGTTTCATTTTTGGGACTCTCAAGTATATTGATGTATTGTAAACTATTATGAATTATGCATATAACTTATTTAATCTTGCTTCAAGTTATAATGGATTAAGTTATAATAAGATTTAAATTAGATTTTTCTTAGCAAGTTAAATATTCTTTTAATCCTGTCTCATTGTCATCAAACTAATTTCCAATTATTTTTCTATCTCAAAGATAGAATAAATGAAACTAAACACATTCTTCTAAACTAATCTAACTTAAACTTAATTAATAATTCCATTCTTCATTATTTGATTAGCTATTCCCAATTTAACTATACATTTTAAAAGTTTGAATGAGTATATAATACATTTCAATTAAAAATCCCTCTTCGATTAAAGAACTACTTAAATCACCCTAACTTTCCATTAAAATTCTAATTACTCCTTAAAACTCCTTCACTAAATCCTAAAAAAAAAATTACATAATCCTAGTAGAAAACAAACATTTCCTATGCACACTTTTCGACATCTTCCCACGAGAGCACATTTAGAGCAGGCCCATAATTAACCCATTCCCCCGCGATTTTTATCCCTATCGTACGCATGTGTACTTGAGAAGGGAGCAACGTTTCACTCGAGGATTACATTAGAGTATCGAATGAAGGAAAAGCGTGTCACGATCCTGCATTAAGCTGTGACACGTGGGTGGTTCGCGTAAGTACGTAGCGTTTCTCACGCGGCTCCAGTGGCCCCTCCCCTCGTTCCTCGACCCCTTTTCGCGCAATCGTGCATCCACTTCGAACCGGCCTTCACAATACCGTTCTTTGTACGCAGTGGCCGCTTTAATCCGCCTCGAATCGCGCCCCTATTCTCTTCAAACGAAAATCGTTCAAGACGATCTATCTTTATTCCATTCTCCTTGGGAACGAGCCAGGGGAAAAATTGACTCGGCCAGACGGTATTCAGAACGCTCGTTGCATTCAGATTAGTCAGACGATAATTTCTTTTTTTTTTTTTTCGAGCATAGAGTTTGATAGAAACGAAAAAGGTTTCGTGTTGTGGGATCTTGAAATGTGTGTATATATGTATATAAACTTCGATATATTTGCTTTTTTGCGAAAGCTGGACTGAAAGATTATATCATAATAAGAAAGATATCGATACATCTTTTTTGCATATTGAAAAATAGAAAAGTCAAAAGGAGACTTCCAATCTCGTCAAATTTCGCTTTTGTCTTCTCTGACCGGTCGAATCGATTTGCAGTTTTACCGCGGGCTCAGCTGTTTCTAACCAGCAATATCTAAACGTGGATACCTTTAGAATGCATGAGTTTCTTTCACGCGGGCAATGGCAGACAGTTACAATCGAATTGTAAATCCACGCGTGTCATCCATGACTCGTTTCGCCCGACGGACGGTCTTAGGGGTTAATTGAGAGCGACTCCTATAAGCGCGGCGCTTTCTATGGAAAGCGCAGCGAGGAATGCGTAAATGCGTTTCTTCGATGTTCAATCTTTTTTCGTATCGGTCGGGGAGACGGAATGCGTTAAATTCCTCCTTACTTCCGCGGTTTCCCCAAGGATTCCTCCATTATTCGAAAGGGTAGTTACGCCTGTTGGACAGTTGACATTTGTTTGTGGTGGGCCCGAGTTATGGATCGTAAAACGTTGTTCGAGGCGGGCAGGTAGAGGTACCTTGATCCGTTCTACGAGGTATCGATCGAAGGCTGACGTCTTCGCGTCCCTTTTTATAGGAAACGTAAATTTTAGCTGAAATTACGGTTTTCTCGGCGAGCGAGCACGCGAATAAAATTGCCTTTTAACGGACGTGTATATTACCCGCGCCGGTATTCTATCGTCCCATCCACCTTGACACTATTACTTATACCATCCAATTAGACTCTCTCGGTGTCCCTTCGCGCGATCACGAATGTGGCCGGGGAAAAATCGGCCGGCTTATCGAATCGATCGACGGCCCAGGGAAACGCGTGACTAACTGTTCCGTGACGCTGTGAACGTATCATTACCGTGCATGAAAACGGCTCGTAAATTCAATAAATACGGATACGAAGCGGCGGAACAAGATGAAGCGGATCTGCTACGATAGCCATCGGACCAGTCCTCTTTGCTTTCCATCTCTTCGGTGAATCTTCCAGGAATCTTGAGAAACTGTATTTTTATTACTATTTTCTTCGTCTTATTATTCGAAAGTTGGTTAGATGTTTACTGGCTGGTTTACATCTCAATGAAACATCGTACATAGAGGTTATGAAACTGAGATTATTGAGAAAAAGATATAACCTCGTGTTTGTTTGGATCTATTTTAAGTTGTCTAAACTATTTAATTTTATCATCTTTATGAGTTTAATTTTTATAAAAAGAAAAGTTAATTGCAAGATGTTTTTATTAAGTTTATTAATATAGTTATTTTATTTATAGACGATATAGAGAATTTATCCAAGATTATTTTAAAGATGTTAATGTAATATGATTAAATTAGATTCAAAAATATTGAAAACATGAGATATGTATCATTTCATGATATTCGCATCTTAATTTGATATGTGATTATTTATTAGACATCTTATCATTACATAGAACACAACAGATTTCCTTCGACATTTCCTACGAATGTTCTGATTAATATGTACTATAGGAACAATTGAAGGAAGTACGACATCTGTTATACAGATGCATATTTCTCAGATTGACGAAACGGAAATGAAACTTATAATTACCATGGAATGTATAATGTAAACAGGTCATCTTCCAGAGAAATTTGCCATCGACGATAGGACAATGGGTCTATTAGCATGGAAAGAAATATTGCCATGAATTATTATTGAATAGTTTTGTTGGAATTATCATCATAAACATTTATTCTACTTTAATATATTTTTTTAATTTTTTTCTCTTTTTTCCACACACGAAGAAAAATTATAGAAAGTGAAAGTAAAATTCAATCAACGATTACTGACACGGTCGACTAATGTTTCAACGTGAATATGAAACCATGGTATATATTATAAATGGTTCTTTGAGATGGAGGAATTATAAGTTGTTAAACAGCCATCAAATATCCGTTCAATATTTTAATAACGTATGATAACTGTTTAAATTAAATTATTAAAAGTCTACACATTAAATTTAAATCCAATATATGTTTCAGTGAAGGTAAAATATTCCATTAGTAAATGATGCTGCGCACTTCGATATTAATTTCACTTCCATATGTGCATGGAAGTACATGGACTTCCATTAACCACGATTATGGTCTTGATCAAGGTAACGATAAAAATTATGAATAATTTATTAGAATAAATTTATTAACAAAGTAAAAAATAAATCTTTTCTAGTATTTTCTATTTTCTTAAGTAAAAATTCGATATTTGACTCTATATTTTCTTTATTAAATTAACATTATTATTATATTTGATCACAAAAGTTACAAAAGCCGATTAAGATTTATTTATTTAATAAATTATAGATTGAAATTTATGAAAACAATCTTGCAATCACTTTATAGTAGCAATAATCATTCCAATTTTCCAACAAATGTAATAAAATCTAGAATACTTAACTGCTGATGTATATCTGATTATTAATTGTATTATTAATTGTTATAAAGTAACTCTTATCCAATTCTGCTTTAATTGATCACCATAGATGTTTGTAATAATTATTATTTCCCCGTATTAATTTAAATATTCCATTTTTTTTTATTTTTTTATTATTTTATACACGAGTAAAAAATATTATACATAGAGAAAGCGTACGGTATATTTTATTATTGTTAAGATTTTCAGTTACATGATTTTATGACACGGTCAATACAATTGCTATTATGTAAGAAAGGACTAGGATTTCTGCCATCTGGATGCCAATACTTGGATGGTACGTGACTTAGGCATCATTTTCGAATTAGACAATGCAGCGTAGTCTTTTGGTATTTTTTCCTATTTCAATAGCAAAAATCCTGTCGTAAATCTCAAAGTTCCTAGAAGGTCGAATGCTGTTGCTGAATGACCTCGCGTTCAACTCGTACATCCTTTACAACGAAAGACCTCTATCCCTTCAGGAATTGAATATACCAAGATGTAATGGAGGAAGAGACACGTGATTTAAAAAAAAAAAACCTTACAGTTTAAGAAATGAAATCATAATTTTGTATCAAAACAAGCACACATTATCATATTTTATAATTCATTATAGTTGTAATAATTATATAATTACTTGTAACATTTTAATAATTGGAAAAATTTTAGATATATTACAAACTACTCTTTATATCCTATAAGATGACTTTTCAAGAACTTTTTTTTTAAATTCAATTAATTACACGATTATAAGA